CCTTTGTTGTTCTTCACTGCTGGCTGCGCATGTATGGAGTCGAGTGTTTTAGCGGTTGTGTGTATCTCATCATTCCAGAACTTGATTCAGTGGAAGATGGCCATGGAGTCACAGGGTAAATGAATGTTGACTGCATGATCCTCAATTTGCTGGGAGGACAGTGCTGGCTTCATATTGACTTCATGAAAGATGCTTATGCTGCCACCAATCACAAGGATGAGTTTTGGCAGATGATGAAGTGGCTTGAACACAAGGAGAAGGTTTTACAGCATGCAAATTTCGTTGTATGGCACCACAATTTGAGCATGACCAACATGGATGTCATTGCAGCTTCTCCTGCCATCCACTGGCAACCTCCAGACCTCGCATGTCTCTTTTGCATCAAGATGACCCATCACCCATCATGCAAGTTGGTTCCATTCCAAGAACTCACTTCTTTGGCTTCACATGGCACCACTCATTTCATTCTGGTGCTGGCAAGATTTATTGTCCTTTATAATCAGCCTCTCAGTGGCCTCTGTATTGAAATTGTCTGTCGTGCCAAACAGCTTGATTAATTCAGTGTAGTGCTGAAGAAAGTGGAGCTTTGGGGTGTTGAAGTTACTGCGGATGCTGAGGTCCTTGAAGACACCTTTATTTGTGTGGAATTCGTCCAGTGCTGTTTCAAGCGCATCAATTGATGAATCAGAGTGAATGGGGAATTGGGTGAGGTAAAGGAAATCTAGAAGGGATCAAGTCGTGTGCACTAGTCTTGATGGAGAAGCATTCCCTGGCAGCTGCACATCAATGACAAGGCCAAGTAAGAAGTGTGACATTTACTTGTGCTCTGTACCACTGACTCAGCTCAATGTTGTGATCCCTTTCTGGAAAGTGTGCATGGAATGATTGGGTGGAAGGTGATGAACTCATGCATCTACCTCTGCAGCACCAACAATCTTGGTAATCCAGCTGATCATGTGCTTCATTACCCCTTAGTAAAGTTGATGCAAAATGTCAGGCATGATAGATTGGAAGATATTGAGATATGGGAGGTCTTCCCAGAAGGGATGTTGAAGTGGTTTGATTCGAACACTGTGACAGGCTCGAGTATATTGTGGGGATCTGAGAAGTTCAAGTGCATCCAAAATTGCATCAAGATCACGTAGTTTGTGTTGAGAGGGGTGTTCACCAAGCTCATTGTGGGGGCAGGTACAGACAGGACAGTCTCCATTCATTGTCCCCATGACAAGACACTGCTCAGGGTAATCCCTGATAAAAGCTGCAAAGATTGGATGACAGTGTCATGTGATGCCATCACCACTCATCATCACAATGCCATCCACACCAGCTAACTTCAAAGGCTGTATGATGTGTGACATGCATGCATGAAAGAGGTTCACCAAGGTACGATGGCATGAAGCTTTGTTGGCAATTTGCATGAGATGTGTTGTTGGCAGATATGCCAGGAGAATTTGACCTCGGCAGGAGGGTTTGCATCAGATGCACTTTGGTAAATTACCAATGGTAAGATAAACAGGATATGCAGTCTTGTTTTGGAACAGTGTGATCTGTGTCTTGTCTGATGAGATGATGATGGGAATTATTGTCACCCCTGGTTTTGATTGTTCCACAACTTCCTACAGTTAAACATGAGCCAGTGACTGAGCATGATACAAATAGAATGCATACTTGGGTTGCCCACCACCATTCACCTGTACACATATCATGATACAGACACTGAGTTTTGTCCGCATCCACATAGTGTCTCTCTGGTGTGAAAGACTGTCATATCCCATATGCCAGACATAGATCCCATCATATTCCCACGCTTTCTGGACCTGTTTCCAGACCCCATATCCAACTCATTCCTGGATCCCCTATCCTGTCCACCCTATGCACATTCTGTCCAGCAAGACATCCAGACTTTACCTCCTCTTGGATTCTGGACTACATCCACCACCTCACATATCTCAGTCCTGTTTCCGCCCTGCCTTCCAGATCCCCAGATCTCCAGACCTCCGGATATTAAGTGTTACTATCTCCGGACTTATTCCTGCCCTCTATCCGAGATCCTGCGCTTATCCCCATTTAGGCATCTCTGCCTTTCTGGTTCTTGGTTATCCCTGTTTCTGTCTTGCTGATTGATCCTTGTACTAGTTTCATCTCCGAGTTCATTTACTTATGTTCCATCTTACTTACCAATGTGTTTCCACATGCTCATACATAGCCTTACTCCTTTGCTTACTGATCCTCTCAGATAGCCTCTAGTATATAACCCCTGTACAACTACAGTAGAGTCCTCAGTCTGAATATCATCTTAGTTCCTACTCTATCACCTTAGATCTGCCCGATCATCTTCTGGACTTCAGTCCATCTGAGTCTTGTCCTTTTCTGTAAGGCCTAGGGAAGGATTCCCTAGGCTGGAATTCCGGACCTTCGGATTTGCCCCCTATGTCTCTGTCCCAAGTCTAGGGATTGCTTCCCTAGGCTGGAGTCTTGCCTTTCTGGCACTTACCCTCTTTCTGGACTTAGGTCCACTTCCCGTCCCTCTGACTCTACCTTAGGGTAGTCTACCTCTGTTTGCTTCTGCATCGGACTTCATCCGATGTAGCCCCTATTCCTTCCGGACCCCCGGACCTCCTGTCCTCTGTACCTCTGGATGTCCTGGTATCCTGTCCTTTGGACCTCCTGTCCTCTGTACCTCTGGATGTCCTGGTATCCTGTCCTTTGGACGTTCCACCCTCCGTACCTTTGGACGTTCCACCCTCCGTACCTTTGGACGTTCCATCCTCCATACCTCTGGACCTCCTATCTGTCCATCCTGTTTTCCTGTAGAAGTATTACCTTGCAGTGGGAACTCTCCTGAGCATTTCCTGCATTCCTCCAGAACTCTCCTGCACTCTTCCGGACATTTCCCACGCTCCTCCGGAAGTCCTCCTGCACTCTCCACCAGAGTAGCCAGCCTCTGGAAGTCCTCTGGACTTCGTTGGACCATCATTGGACTTCCTCTGAAATGAAGGGCACATACTCGGGTAAGGGGCACAGCATACAAGCTGAGGCCAAGCCCCTCTGAGTCAGTCTCTCTCTCCTTTGAGCATGGTTCTTAACAAAGACAGGTATTGTGCATGTTTGGGGTCACCATACAGAGCTCAAACACACTCCAGTATACAGTGGCTCAAAAAACTGTCCGCATGTTTTGACATTTTTCACTATCTATGATATTGTGTGAGAACGAACAAATGCCTCAAGGACATGGTTATACCACATTGTAGTATGGCTTCAGGGCTTTCATTTGAGCCCTACACCGTGTGAATCGGTGGAGATATGGTGGAGATACAAGGCTTACAAAATCATGACTCATGTGGACAGTTTTTTGAGCAGATATTAAAACTATATAAATCATCATTTATGACACCATAACAATCATGCCACCATTAAATAAATTATAAAGTGGTGTCATTATGTCATTTTAAAACCATATCTAACTATACAAACCAAAAATTTCCATATGTCATGGTTATATTCACCATGAAAGCCACCCCCCTGCTCAAAGGGATAATATCCTCTCTCTTTCCTATTCTGGCCTCTCTGCTTGTCAAATTTCCTCTAGAACTGGAGTATCCAAGTCCACTGTGGCCAAGTTCATCAAAGAAAGTCACACAGACAAGAAAAACTTCTGTGAAGGGTGTCCATCCAAGCTCACCTCTACTGATAGGAGGGCTATTATTCAACATATCACTACAGGAAAGGCTGATAATGCTGTCCAGGTCACCTATTACATCAATTCCACCATCACATTCCCTGTCTCTTCACACACTGTGAGAAACATTCTCAAGACAGCTCATCTCAGGTCAGTAACAAGGAAGAAAAGGCTTTCCTCTCTATCACACATATGCAGAGAGGACTAGCACCCTTCTTGTTTCACATATATACCTTGCCATCTGACCCAATCCTATTTATTGTGGTCTTATATGATCATATAACATGCTTCCAGTCTGTGTAATCCAATTCTGATGGGCTAAGGCAAAGGTTAGTCATCTCTGCATATGTGTGATAGAGAGGAAAGCCTTTTCTTCCTTGTTACTGACCTGAGATGAGCTGTCTTGAGAATGTTTCTCACAGTGTGTGAAGAGACAGGGAATGTGATGGTGGAATTGATGTAATAGGTGACCTGGACAGCATTATCAGCCTTTCCTGTAGTGATATGTTGAATAATAGCCCTCCTATCAGTAGAGGTGAGCTTGGATGGACACCCTTCACAGAAGTTTTTCTTGTCTGTGTGACTTTCTTTGATGAACTTGGCCACAGTGGACTTGGATACTCCAGTTCTAGAGGAAATTTGACAAGCAGAGAGGCCAGAATAGGAAAGAGAGAGGATATTATCCCTTTGAGCAGGGGGGTGGCTTTCATGGTGAATATAACCATGACATATGGAAATTTTTGGTTTGTATAGTTAGATATGGTTTTAAAATGACATAATGACACCACTTTATAATTTATTTAATGGTGGCATGATTGTTATGGTGTCATAAATGATGATTTATATAGTTTTAATATCTGCTCAAAAAACTGTCCACATGAGTCATGATTTTGTAAGCCTTGTATCTCCACCATATCTCCACCGATTCACACGGTGTAGGGCTCAAATGAAAGCCCTGAAGCCATACTACAATGTGGTATAACCATGTCCTTGAGGCATTTGTTCGTTCTCACACAATATCATAGATAGTGAAAAATGTCAAAACATGCGGACAGTTTTTTGAGCCACTGTATCTCGGGAGAATAAATCATATGTTTTACCTCTTATGCAGGTTTCATGGTGAGTGAAGGCAGGTTGGTGTGACGGAATTTTGGTATCAACAATCTTGTTGAGTTTGACTGAGTTCTTGTATGACAGACCAAGTGCTTCATGGACCTGATGTAATGTCACATGTCAGCCTCCATGTTAAAATGTGACATCAATTTATTATACATACACCTTCAATTGCTAGGAGATCAGTGAATGCAGTTGATCCCAGCCCTCATACTTTTGCCCAGTGTGCAACTTCCCAATCCATCTGGGAATTAAATGGTGCCCATAGATTGTCTGCGCTTCCCTCCACATTGGCTGAGTAATTTGTGTACTTGGATCTCTTCACTTGAGGCATATTGTGCAATGGAGCACCAGCTTCACCCCTGAAATGTTCAATAGTGACCAGAGCATTACAAAGCTGCTCATGTTCGTCTTGGTCCAACCCTGTGTGCTGAAAAGGTTGAGAATCTGAAGTCAGCAGCAACTCCATGATGTGTTGTGATGTGTCTCATAGTGGCTCCCAACCTATGTCTACATTGCCAACTTCAATGTCCTCATCATTGCTCTCCAGTGCATTCTCATCTTCCTCAGCCACACTCCCCATCATGGTGAACATCAACATGGATGGGTTCTTCATCATTTACGAAGGGAAAATCTTCTTCTCCATAGTCATCACCAAAATAATCCCCACCAAATGGCTGAGGATCTGGTGTGATGTCAGGTGTGGCCCGTGTGGGTGCACTGTCATGCAAGGCATGGGGTGCGTCTCTGCATATGGGTTGGCAGTGGACTGAATCATTGAGTCTCTTGCACTCATGCTGACAGTGTGAATTGGAGGATTTGTGGAGGTGTTGAAGGTATGATCCCCTTCGAGTGAAATATTCATGACAGCCTGCACATTGAAACACCATGTTGCACTACTAGTAAGAAATGGGGTACAAAACAGAGGGAAATTGTTCAAATGTAAACTGAAAAGGAAAAGGCTGAGGGAATGTTATGGCCAACAAGGTTCAACAGACCCACAAGGTTCAACACTGTGACCCTGGTCAGCTCTTGAACTTTCCAGCTAGCCCATAGCATTTTTGCCCTTCTTCTCACCTCCATCAACATTCACTTGAACCAAGATTGTTACAGTGCCCCACTTTTTTTCCCATCATCACTGCAGACTCCTATATGGCTGTACTTCTAATGCTTCCTTTTCACTGTGCTGTTTCCTCATGGTCTCCTTTATCTCTGACTCATACCTTGTTTTCCCATGAACCTTCCATTTCTAGTACTAGTTACCCTTTGCCCAGCTTGGTCTGTGCATGATTCCTTTATGTATATAGACTCTAGTTACCACTTGTATTTTCTCTAACTTGAATCTACTCAGTTCTCTTCAATACTTGAACTCTAGATCCTGTGGGAGTCTAGACGATCACTCCTGAGGGAGGCATTGACTCAATAAGGCTTAGTCCTTGATCAACCTTGATCCTTGATTCCTTTATTGGAACAATGCTCTATCCCAGTTCATAACAAAGATGGCCCCATGAAAGCAGTCAAAACCTGATGCTGCCACTGCACAGTGGAGGGAAAACCACAAGGCCAGAATGCAGGCCCAACTTGAAAATGTTGTCATAGTGAATACAGCTGACAACATAGAGTCAGATGAGCCCAGTGTAGGATGATGTGAGGGTATATCCTTTCTGTGTCAAATTAACACTGATGAAAAATTTTAACAGTGACTCAAGTAGCCAAAACTGCGGCACTAACCAGACCTGGTCAGTACCAATTCATAGTGGCAATGAGATACATACTCAGACATTCCCAGATCGCCCTATGAAACACACGTGAGTCAAACACAAGCATGCTAATAGTGTCTGTGTGACAGAACTTGAAGGTCAGACCAGAATGTACACTTGGAGCCATAATTATATTTACCTTGAACATAGCCTGGAAATCATTGGGTGAGGGCAAAGTTCAACCATTGGGACCACTGCATCAGCGTGAAGTAAAGAAAGTCAAGTTAATGCCCAAGCTAAGTGAGCCAATGATCAGTAATCCCATGGAACAATAACAACTCAAAATTTACAGGCAGGGCTCATCCTGCACCAAATCCACTCCAAGTCAGCAATTCAAACAAGCACCCACTCGGTACTCCCAAGGCCAGGGATGACACTACTGAATCAGACCTTGGAGACTTAGCTGAAGATGGTGAAGACCATGATGGACAAAATAGCCTAGACAGTGATGATGAGGACAGAGAATTTGCAGACCTTGCTGTTGAAAATTTTCACCAAGAAGTTCATGAGAAACATCACTAGTAGCATTGACTTAGATCACTAACCAGGACAGGGAGTGCAATGGACCCATAGCAGCATGAAAAATCACAATATGGTGCTTGACAGCGAGCCAGAAGATAAGCAAGACTCAATGGGGCTCCACAAAGCACAGCATGCTAATAAAATTGTACATACAACTTACAATTGCAATATCACTTGTTGTACTCACCCAGCACAAGTTAATGTTTGAGAGTCAGAGTACACAACAAGAGAAGAAACTCCAGGATGAGGTCAGCTATCCAAAGCTCGCTGACTGTCCCACTCACTTTTTTGGTTGCCTACTAGATGCCACACTTTGCTGATGATGCAGAGCAGAAGCCCCCCACTGAAGCTGAGGCAAATTCAGGTGCCTCAGATACTGTGAGCCTCGATGGAATTGTGTGGTTGGCAGACACAGACCTGCAGGTGACCCTTTGTGGGAATATTCTGTTTATCTCAATCAAACTGCAGTCAGAGAAGATCCGCAAAGTTGTCCATGGAAGTTATCAACAAGGGCAGTGCATGTTTGCATTCGGTTTGGAGGATGATACTGATCTCACCATTGACAATGTCTTTGATATGTATGACTACCACATTTGCAACTCATGGTACCAACACACTGGCCTTTGAAGCTCTTGTTGAGTCAGCTGATCATGAAGGTTATACTGGTAAAAATGATATGGCTGAATGCCTTCTTAGTGACTCGTGGGCTCAATATGCAAAGCTGCTTGTAGATTATGTGAGTTTCAGTGTCAGTGTGTGATTATATTCTTTACATTCACAACTATGCTTCAGACTACACACCACATTCACCTCTGCCACACTCAATTTAAGAAGGCAGTTGGCGTCATTGTCATGAGTGTCCTCAATCTCACAACAAATTCAGCAGCTCAGAACTCAACACTGTTAGATGACATCAACTATATCTACCCTTGGTCGGCTAAGGTACGTGCATGCACAATGTCTATACAAATCTTGAATAATTTTTTTCCAGAAAAACAAGTACCAAACCTCAAAGCCATTCCAGGCTGAAGTGATCAAAGAGGGTGTTCAAGCCAGCTTCTTCATTGGCACCCAATTCAATGATCTTGGCATCAAATTTTCTTACCTACTGTTAAGAACCATGCTCAAAGGAGAGAGAGACTGACTCAGAGGGGCTTGGCCTCAGCTCGTACGCTGTGCCCCTTACCTGAGTATGTGCCCTTCATTTCAGAGGAAGTCCGATGATGGTCTGACAAAGTCTGGAGGACTTCCAGAGGCTGGCTACTCTGGTGGAGAGTGCGGGAGGACTTCCGGAGGAGCGCAGGAAACGTCCAGAGGAGCACGGGAGAGTTCCAGAGGGATGCAGGAAATGCTCAGGAGAGTTTCCACTGCAAGGTAATACTTCTACAGGAAAACAGGATGGAAGGATAGGAGGTTTGGAGGACAGGAGGACAGGATGTCCGGAGGTCTGGAGTATGGAGGACAGGAGGTCTGGAGGTAGGGAGGATGGAATGTCCAAAGGTACGGAGGGCGGAATGTCTGAAGGACAGGATACCCGGAGGTATGAGGGACAGGAGGTCTGGAGGTACAGAGGACAGGAGGTCCAGAGGTACAGAGGACTGGAAGGAATAGGGGCTACATCGGACGAAGTCCGATGCAGAAGCAAACAGAGGTAGACTACCCTAAGGTAGAGTCGGAGGGACAGGAAATGGACCTAAGTCCGGAAAGAGGGTAAGTGCCAGAAAGGCAAGACTCCAGCCTAGAGAAGCAATCCCTAGACTTGGGACAGAGACATAGGGGATAAATCCGAAGGTCCAGAATTCCGGCCTAGGGAATCCTTCCCTAGGCCTTATGGAAAAGGACGAGACTCAGATGGACTGAAGTCCGGAAGATGATTGGCAAGTAGAACAGGATCTAAGATGATATTCCGACTGAGGACTCTACTGTAGTTGTACAGGGGTTATATACTAGAGGCTATCTGAGAGGATCAGTAAGCAAAGGAGTAAGGCTATGTATGAGCATGTGGAAACACATTGGTAAGTAAGATGGAACATAAGTAAATGAACTCAGAGATGAAACTAGTACAAGGATCAATCAGCAAGACAGAAACAGAGATAACCAAGAACCAGAAAGGTGGAGATGCCTAAATGGGGATATGCGCAGGATCTTGGACGGAGGGTGGGAATAGGTCCAGAGATCTGGGGATCCGGAAGGCAGGGCAGAAACAGGACTGAGATATGTGAGGTGGTGGATGTAGTCCGGAATCTGAGAGGAGGTAAAGTCCGGATGTCTTGCTGGACAGAATGTGCATAGGGTGAACAGGATAGGGGATCCAGGAATAAGTTGGATATGGGGTCTGGAAATAGGTCTGGAAAGCGTGGGAATATGATGGGATCTATGTCTGGCATATGGGATATGACACCTACTTTCATCTTCACTCACCACAACTTCCAATGAGTTGGAGATTGTCAACCACGTGATAGCCAGTGTTGCTACTGCAGTTTGTAAAGTTCTTTGTTTCTTGCTGCCTTGGCTCATGATCTTACTAGGTTGAAGCCAATATCCTGGACTTTTGTACTGGAAAGAGCAGCAAATTCATTGGCCCAAGTCATGACAACACATTCAAGGCACACATATTCCTCCTTCTCACCATGAAGCAGAAGCACCCACTCAAGTACCACAAGCTAACTCATGGCATCTATCACACTGTCGTGTATGCAATTTTTTTCAATTTGTTGTCCTAACTAATCTCTTGTGGTAGTGAAATGCATAGTATTGGGCCTACCCAATGTAGAGACTCACACCTCTGTATGCCTGTAGAGCCCTATATTGTGATGTATCTGCATACAGTTTGCAGCATGAACTCACAGCATCATTCCCTATATCATCCCTTCACTCAGCCTATACATGTGTGATCTTCCTACACATCATGCAATGTGTGTGCTACTCTCCCATGATGCTTTCCTGTGTGTGTCCCACGCGCTTTCCCGCACTTCATCGCCCATCATCCAGGAGCATCCATCCATTGTCCACCAAGTCCTACTGGTACATTTTCACATTTACTCTTATCATGACACCATATTCCATCATAGACCCTTACTTAGATATACCTTCTTCATTCCTGTGCCTTACTTGTGTCAGCTCCGCATCGTGGGAACGCGCTTAGTCACCTTTTGCATGATAGCATTCGCATTTTTTATGACTTAGAGAGCTATGACTTAGTTGCCAGTTGGTATCCCTTAGCATCCCTCAGCATAGTGCACGCATTTTTGGAGCCATAGTCAGTAGCATTTTGGCAATCACACTCTGTCATCATCGCATTTGT